CCTTTTTGACTGTGCAGTGCCTGTGTTGTGGCCGGACCTTTCCGGGGGCTCGTGAACTCTCACGGCGCCTTCAAGAGAGGCACTCTATTCTGTGGAATGACGCCCTACATCTTGGCCTCAGCCTCAAGCATGTTGTCAGTCCACTCACCGGCTGTATTTGCAATCCAGCAGTGGCCTCTATGACATCCAAGCATGAGTGTGTGGGCCTCCGGCAACTTGCCATGACTCACCTCAGATTGCATGATGACCTACTGGTCCCATGGGTGTTTGATCACGAGCTCTTGCAACAACTTCTTCGCCCAGGTGTTTTGCCTCTGGAGCTGGTCAACACCGTGCACTCCTGGCTGATTGATCGCAAGTTTCAGAAGCTGTGGCAGTGCACTGAACTGATACAGATCTTGAGCTCCTGTTGCTTCATGTGTGACTTTCGGGGGCATGGCACAGACTTACAGATCCATCTCTTGGTCGAGCATCATTGTCAGGAACGAGGGTTGATGATGTTTGTTCAACAAATCCTTCGTTTGCTTCCTATTTCCACTGAAGCATCACCTGGTTGCTGGCTCTGTGGTATGGCTCGAGAGGACCTCAGGGCTCACTTGATTGCTTGTCCGACTCTGATTCAGATCTCCTCGTTGATCGCCTTGCCTATCCATGAGCGATTTTGGCTTGGAGTCCATGGAGGACGCTTTCACGGAGCAATCATTGGCGGCGCTCCACGGTTGGGGCCAATTGGAAGCCACGGCAAAAGATCAGGAGCACTCCAAGAGGGCCAGACTCGGACCAAGCAAGCGAGATCGACAGACAGCGGATCGAGAGCCTCCGCTGCGCGATCTCATTCGAGCAATGGGTCAATTGATGCTACGCCGCGATCAGGATCTGCAGACGAGTGCAATGCAGGATACATTCATTCTCTACTTGGTTCCAAGCCAAGAGGGCAGCCTCCCACTCCTGCAAACGGCCCACCGACAGTGGACAGACCTCAAGGAGAAGTCCACCACGCTTCGAACGCACCTGATGCTGGCACTCTTGAGGGAGCTACAACGCAGACTCCTGAAGGTGATGGCCTGCTCCGATCAGGACTCTCTCAAAGTCACCATGGTGAAGAATGGAATCCTGCTGGAGGATCTGACCTGGCCGTACACACAATGGGATCAGACGTCCAAAAAGCTCCTCCTCTCCAAGACGAAGAAGCCAATGACGATGACCGCAGCCCAGGAACTCCTGGAAGAGCTGCTCACACTTGTCAAGGAGGAGGGGGCGATCCAGCGGTTTCATTCACTGAGCCGGCAGGAATCTGCAAAGAGCCAACCATGGAAGCTGCAGGTAGGGCAACGCAACGACCGACTCCATCAATTGCTCACACAGAGCTGCCATCTCAGCCTGTGGCAAATTGCAGGCATTCAGATGAAGCCTCATACACTGAAGGCCTCGCCCTTGGCAGTGAAGGTCAAGGACACGCTCCAACATCTTTGATGGAAGAGGATCGAGTGCACTTGGCCAAAGCGGTGGCCTCATGGGAGCTGCAGAACCCTGCCAACCATTGCTATATCAACGCGTCCTTGCAGGCTTTGGGTTGGGCAACTCTGCACAGACAACATTTCTCTTTTGATGATTGGGGTGTGCTCCATCCAAGCTGGTCTACAGAGCATGTTGAGCCTTGGTTCTTCTCCGTTTCTGGTCCTAGATGGAGGCATTCAGCGCTCACTTGGCTGCTTGGGATGGGGCACGACAGCACGATGCTGTCGAATTTACATTGTTTCTCATGTCCAAGATGGATATGGCCACAATACACTGCCTTTGGGAGAGAAGGTATGCCAGGGAGACTGGGGTTGTAAAAAGGCATGCGTCAGCAGGTGGCAACATCATGTTACATCTTCATGTGATGCCGGACACGGTTCAATTCCTGCATCAGTTGATTGAGAATTGGCACACTGAATCTGGCATGATCACAGCATATTCTCACCTTCCGTCCCTTGTATGCATCCACCTGGACCGACTCCGTCCATTGGCAGGCAATGTGCACGGTCAGAAGCTCATGTCGAGGGTGAACCTAGACACAGTGATTCGACTCCCCCGATTCACAGGTGATGACACGCAGATTGAATTTCAAGAGTACATCCCCATTGCAGCACTTGCACACATGGGATGTCCAGGGGCAGGTCATTTTCGAGCGGCATTGAAATGCTTTGATGTCACCGCTGCTACCAAGTGGCTGCTGTGTGACGACGACACACATGCGATTTCCACACCTAGCCTCCCAGGATGGTTCGAGACGCAGGTGACAATGGTATGGACCCTTCGCAAGAAGGAACTGTGCAGCTTGCAGGTCGATTTTGAGACACCCATCCCCGCGCCAGATCTGTCCACCTTTCTGGCGCTCTTTCATGACTAGGTACTGGCTGTTCAAGAACAGCACTTGCTTGATCCTCGGATCATGAGAGTCTTCCTTGATGGAAGCCGTGATTGACAGATCACGATGGATATGCGCAAAGACGCCCTGAAGCTCTTGGCGTGCGAAAGCCCGAAAAAAGGCCAACCTAATAGCAATGGCCTCCAACCTAATAGCCATGGCCTCCAACCTAATAGCAATGGCCTCCAACCTAATAGCAATGGCCTCCAACGCAATAGCCATGGCCTCCAACCTAATAGCAATGGCCTCCAACCTAATAGCAATGGCCTCCAACCCAATGGCAATGGCCTCCAACCTAATAGCAATGGCCTCCAACCTAATAG